TCTCTCTCTCTCTCTCTCTCTCTCTCTCTCTCTCTCTCTCTCTCTCTCTCTCCCTCTCATAATAGTTACAGAAGAACGACATTATGGGCATGGGGTTGCATCTCTCGTGCACTTAAATACAGGAAGTAATTACCGGGGCACATTTACAACGACAAATTGGAGCATTCTTGGATAAATCCATCACCGAACAGTCTGAACCACGATCCAAGAACCCAAATTTTACACAAACACAAAACCCACATGTTCAAAGTGCATAGATGGGATTCACCTCTGAGTCTGAGAACTCAGAGTGATGGTTCCAAGAGTTTGACCCACTCCTCCTCGACGACTTCTCCTTCTTCCTGATCGACCTGCTCCTCTTTGACTTCACTACATAGTATGTCATGGTGCCCAACACCCCCGCCATTATGATCCCTCCAATGCACGTCACGAGCACCGCTGCCCATTGAAAGTGCCTCCCGACAACAATGTAAGCAGACGCAATGAATGCCACTGATGTGCACACTGATGCGAGCCACATGAGTTTGTTGATGATTTCAACCACACGCCTCTCTGACTTGGTTTCCCCCCTCACCAAAGTGATTTGCACAACCACCACTGCAAGTGAAGTGAATAGGGCGACCGCGTTGAAGATGAAGAAGATCTTGAATGACCGGTCCTTAACCGCCACTGCAACACCGTTGTTATCATTGCCACCGGGGACAGTGAAGATGGCAGCGAAGGCCACAGTTGCAAAGAGGACTGCAACAACAGTGACAGAGTTGGTGGCGTTGTTGATGCCCTCTCTGTGGAGCTTACGGAGCTCCTTGGCAATGCCATGCACATTCTTGTTGGTCTTGCGAGTCTGCTCAAGCTGGGTGTGGACATCTTTTTTTATCTCCGTCACTGTCTTGCGTAGCTCATCACGGGGCTGATTGAGCTCGTTGGCCCTCAGGGCGCAGTAGCGGGAGAGGCACTCCTTTATCTCAGAGGCTTCTTCCGATAGGGGAAGCTCTTCAGCAATATCGAATGCGGTCTTGTGGGCTCTGTTCAGAGCATTGACATTGGTGTCGGGGAGTAGGAGCAACTCATTCACAATCTAAGGACACACCGAGAGAATGCATCACTAAAGGTCAAACGGTCATATCAGAAGAAACAAATGCATGAAAGAGACCAAGATGGCGTCAAACAAGTGGGGAACAGTCAACTTGATATCCATACTAAAAACTTTTGAATGACATCTCTTCTTATCGTTGAAAGTGAAAAATACATGGCCAAAATAATTGAGAGTACTTTTCCCCAGTTATTATCTTTGCATTGTAGCAGAAGATGCGTACAGAAGAAAAAAAATGAGAAGCTGTAGAAAAAGTGCTCTACACAAAATCATTTGAGATAATGTACATTCAGATTTAAGACTCATGAAAAGTTTTGAAGAAGTTACGTTGGCTGCTTACTTAACACAAACCACCCCCTTCTTAGACCAAGTAGTTTGTAAGTAAATTATAGTTGAAATATACTAGTGCCTTTATTTAACCATTTCCTTAAAAAATATACTAGTGTCTTTATAATGGTAACTGGATTAAATGAACATACTTGAAAGGGCAATTACATATATACATGGAAACTCGGAACAATTCCATTAGAGAAATCATGTGAGTCCAATTTTGAATATTTTTTCAACAATATAACTTATAATTCCAGTTTACATCAATAGAAAATTCAACAATATATTCTTAGAGCCTGTTTGGGTATATGCATTTTTAGGCATGGATTCCTAATATCTTGGATATTGCCAAAATCCACCAATTGGATGGCTTAATCACTAGGATACTTAAAGTCAGGAAAATCAAAATCATGGAACTAAGACCTACTTTTTCATGATTTCATTTCCACACCAAAACCTGTTTTTTTTAATGTCCAAAGCCCCCATGGATTTCACTCATTGGCCCTCTCGGCCCGAAACATAGGGGAGCATTTGGTAGGTATGAAAATTTTAGAGAGAGAAAGTACCTAAATTTTTTAAAGAGAAACTATTTCAAAAGTTTTAGAGAGAAAACTATATCAAATTTTAACGTTTAGAGAAAAATTATGCTAAAATTTTAGAGAGAGAAAGTATGTTAAAATTTTAGAGAGAGAAAGTACCAAATTCTTTTAAAGAGATGAATTATCTCAAAAATTTTTAGAGAAACTATCTCAAATTTTAACTTTTAGAGAGAGAAAGTATTCAAAATTTTAGAGAGAGAAAGTATGTTAAAATTTTAGAAAGAGAAAATACCAAAAAGATTTAGAGAGAAACTATCTCAAATTTTAGAGAGAAACTAGCTCAAGTTTTAAGTTTTAGAAAAAAACTATCATATTTTAGAGAGAGAAACTATATGCAAATTTTTAGAGAGAAACTAATTCAATTTTTTAGAGAGAAACTATTTCAAAATTTCGAGAAAAAAAATTTCATTTATAATTTTTAGAGAGAGAAACTATATCACATTTTAGAGAAAGTACCAAAAACGTTTTAGAGATAGAAACTATTTCAAAAAAATTAAGAGAGAGACACCATATAAAATCTTAAGTTTAGAGAGAGAGTATTCTTAAAATAGTAGAGAGAAAGTATTCCTAAACTTTTGGAGAGAAACTATTATAAATTTTAAAAAGAGAAACTGTCAAAAAATTTAGAGGGAGAAATATCTCATTTTTTAGAGAGAGAAACTAGATCAAATTTAGAGTTTTAGAGAGAAACTATATCGAATTTAGAGTTTTAGAGAGAAAGTACCTTGAATGTTGAATTTTAGAGAGAGAAAATATATTAAAATTTTAGAATCAGAAATTATATCAAATTTTAGAGAGAGAAACTACCTAAAAAAATTTAGAGATAGAAACTATCTCAAAATTTTTGGAGAGAAACCATCACAAAATTTATGTTTTAGAGAGAAAGTATATTAAAATTTTAAAGACATAAACTCTATCAAATTCTAGATAGAAAAAGTACATGAAATTTTTAGAGAGAAAATATCTCAAAAAAATTTAGACAGAGAAACTATCTCAAAATTTAAGTTTTAGAGAGAGAAAGTATCTCAAATTTTGAACTTTAGAGAGAGAAAGTATATCAATTTTAGAGAGACACTATTATCAAATTTTAATGAGAGAAACTATCTCAAAATTTTAGAGAGAGATACTATCTCAAACATGAAGTTTTAGATAGAGAAAGCATCTTAAAATTTTAACGAGTAACTATATCAAATTTTAGAGAGAGAAAGTACATAAAAATTTTTAGAAAAAGAAACTATCACAAAATCTTTAGAGAGAAATTATCTCAAATTTTAGCTTTTAGAAAGATAAAGTATCTTAAATTTTGAAAGAAAAACTATATCATATTTTAGAGAGAAACTACTTGAAAATGTTTAGAGAGAAACTATCTCAAAATTATTGAAGATGGGAACTATCTCAAGCTTTCAGTTTTAGAGAGCGAGAGTATCTTAAAATTTTAGAAAGAGAAATTATATTAAAGTTTAGAGAGACTGAAGCACCTAAAAATTTTAGAGAGAAATTATCTCAAAAACTTTAAATAGACAATTTCAAATTTTAATTTTGGATTGATAATATATTAAATTTTAGAGAGAGAAACCATATCAAATTTTAGAGAGAGAAACTATCTCAAAATTTTATAGATACACTATCCTAAATTTTAAGTTTTAGAGAGAGAAAGTATATAAAATTTTTAAAAAGAGAAATTGTATCAAGTTTTGTTACCGAACAATGGACATGGAAGTGATTGCAAGGACTCCATGAATTTTATATAGTTTATCCAAACAAGATATTTGAAGAATCCATGACAAAAATCCTTGACATTGAAAATCCATAGATTTCCTTGGATTTCAAATATCTATGATTCCTAATTTCCTCCTATCCAAACGGGCCCTTAAATAAAATATCATTGGATGAAACAGCGAAGAAGATAACTTCAGCTTGAAAACTAATAAACGGGAAATAGATATCACCATAATGCTCCTTGGAGCAAATAAACTCATACACATAGAATGATCAAGAAACAAACTCCCATTTTGATCAAGCAATTTTCATGTTGAATCCAATGGAATACATTACCTACTTCATTTCCGACGTTGGGTAACTCTCTTTTTTTCTTTGGCTTCCAACCATTATGAAATGAGTGTATTAGAAAACCAATTCGGTTTTATGCCAGAGAGGTTAACAATTGAGGCCATTTTTCTACTTAAACAACTAATTGAAAAGTCCATAAGGTCTTTATTGATCTAGAGAAAACTTATGATAGAGTACCTCGAGATTTAATTTGGTGGATATTAGAAAAGAAAGAAATCACTAGATATTATATTGACTTGGTGAGAGATATGTACAAGGGAGTGCTAATTAGAGTGTGAACAATTAATGGAGAGATGAGTGAGCTTTCAGTGTCAACAGGTCAACATCAAGGGTCAGCATTGAGCCCATACCTCTTTATCTTGTTATGAACAAATTCACTAAAAACCTACAAGATGACGTATCATGATGTATGTTGTTTGTGGACGACACAATTTTGATCCTCAGTTTTGATTCTTGGGTTGAAAATCTGGAAAGATAAAGAGACTGATGAAGACGTCGCACAAAGAATAAAGCTGGGTGGGCAATGTGGAGGCAACCGGAGTTTTATGCAATTGGCGCATACCAATGAAGCTGAAAGTGGAGTTCTATAGGAAAATTGTGAGACCGGCTCTGCTTTATGGGGTGGAATGTTGGGCAGTCAAGAAACAACATCCCAAAAGATGAGTGTAGTTGCGATGAGGATGTTAAGATGGATGAATGGCAAGACAAGCCGAGATAAAATTCGAAAGGAATACATTCCGGAGAACTTAGGTGTAGCTCCTATAGGTAATAAGATGCGAGAAAGTAAACATATGTGGGCTAGCTATGTGCAGCGCAAACCTAGTACAACACCTATTAAGAGGTGCACGTTGGTTCAAGTGGAAGGCTAAAAAAGGGAAAGGGTAAAACCCAAAAGGACATGATTGGAAGTAGTGAGAAAAAAATGTTAACTCATGGCCTCGCCAAGGAACTGACCCTTGTAGAGCAAAAGAGTGGACCAAAATTCGTGTAGCCGACCCCAAATAGTAGGGAAAAGACTCTGATGATGATGATGACGACAATATCATTTGAGAAAAGTGAATTCTAATGGTTCAAAAACTATAACCTACTAGCATAATTAAAACTAGTCACTTTTTACCCAAAGATTTTGAAGATTGCAAGTGTTTTCAGGAAGGCTTATTTTAAAAATCGTTACAAGACAGAAAACTTCAAGGCTTCAATTTGCCCACATCCGTTGAAGCGAAATAAATTAGCGCAGAAGTGAAGAGCTGAAAAGGAAAATAGACTAAAAATGAACAGATAGCAAATCGAAGATGATGCAAATAAGGCTAAGTTTCATTAAAAATTCGTAAGAGTGGTGCGCTTTAAAGGTTAGATTCCTCAATTCCTCCAATAAGTAATACATTCTTGTAGGCATAGATTTGTAACAGTTATCCTAAAATAATTCATTTTTATGCTCTTTGATCAAGCAGATGTTTTATGCTCACTAATAGCTCCATGGAGCCACATAAACATAATAGTCTAAAATATCTTTCTCAGCTATATCTAAGAGCACCAATTTTTCACAGATAATACTAAACGTATAGCAAATGGAAAAAAAGAAGCCAGCTGCTTGGTGTCATCATCATCATCATTTTATCCTTTTCCCAATTAATTGGGGTCGGCTACTTGGTGTCATGTATTAAGTAATTATTGAACAAAGTAAACCAAAATGGGCAACTAATACATGGACAGAACATCACATTCAAAGCTTTATAAAAACAAAAAAAAAATCATACCTCTGCTCGCTTTTTCCTTGTGGCTATATGTAAAGCTGTGTTGCCTGCCCTGTCAGGGAGCATAACTATAGCTGCATCTGCATCAAGAAGCAACTTGACCACCTCGCAGCTAACCCCTTTGACAGCCATGTGCAATGCAGTTTGTCCCTTTTTATCAGTTCTCCGAGCCAACTGTGGATCCTTGTCAAGTAGTGCTTTCACAATGTCTACATGACCCTGACGTGCAGCTAAATGAAGTGCATTTTTCCCATTGGCTCTGGAGATCTCCAACAAACTAGAATCCTGTGCTAGCAATTCATTCACGACTGCAGCATGGCCCCTTGCTGCTGCAGATATAAGAGGAGTAGCCTTTGATGGGTCAACTGTTTTGCTCAGTCCAGGTTCATGGTTTAGAAGTACCTGAACAATGGCTGTACAAAAATTGTCATATAATGGTGCAGAAAATCCTACTAACCATCAGAAGGCAATGCTACAAGACTTAATCACAAATTTAAACTAACCATCAGAAATTTGGAAGGCAATGCTATAAGATTTACAAATTTAAACCTTTAGCAGTTTATAATCCTATCTAGCAATCACGTATTTGGGCATTATAAAATCAGATTTATATTTTCTAGTTTATCCTACACTATATGTCCAGGTGAAGAGGAGCTGGCAAGTGAATTGACCAAGTAGGCTATTGACCCATATTATCTCCGTTCTTCATCAAAAGACCCAGAACATAGAGTTTGCCTAAAGCACCAGGTTGAATTCAGCCATTTAAATCTGAAATTTGATGCTTTTAGCTAGAAAATATTCCTAGATATAAACTCTGGGTGAACATTCAGCCAAAAAATATAATAATGGCCTGAGACTACACTGAGAAGATTCAAGAATTAGCAAATTAATAAATAAATAAATCACCATCAGCTCAATAGTGCTTAACTATTTCAGTAGCCAGCAGAACCACCACGATCATGTACTCCATAAAATATTAGAAGTTTAAAACATACCCTGAAAAACTATGTCCACGATGGTAAACTATCACCATTCTAAAGAGACAAATAAAAAAGAAAAGCTGCAATGCACTACTGTCTGAAACAAGCATAACTTTTGATTACCAGTCTTCCGCAGATATATATTGATTTAAAAACCACAGGTTATTCCAAATGCTTGCTGTACTAAAGACTTCTCAGATTGGAAAAATTCCTCAAGATGCATGTATATATATATTTGGGATTTGATTATGGACAAATAAGAGAAATGCAGAGTTTTAAACCCAACAGAGATGCAGTATATATCAGATCAAGAAACATGTTAGAATAATGAAAATAATATTGCCCCAACTTTCAATCAATCAAGAAATCTGTACTCAACTTTCAATCAATAAGAAATCCCACTGAGTACGAACTTTATTTTATCCATCTAGAGTTAAGATTGATATATTGGGATTCCATATAATGTATGATAGGCCATGCTTACCAGAGGTTGCCGCTGTGGCTAATATTCCTACTCAATGAAACCATATTCTTTATTAGTATAGAAAAATTTCAATAGCTTTATTTCTCACATACATCCTTTCTTTGTTTCTCACATATTTGCTACTAGTAAGCTGATCAATACTTCAGAAAAAACATGGAAAACACTGTGATGTACAGATCCACTATTCACAAAGAAAAGGACCAGGAGTCAAAAGAAAAATTCAAGTCATCAAGAAGAATAACTAATGACCGAACTCACACGCAAAGCTTGGTGATTGACTTCAGTGGTTTTGGTTCCTCATAATGAATTCTTTACTCTAGAGACTAAAGGAAAGGACCGAACTGAAGCATGGTTACTACAGATGCACACACCATCCAAGTGGATTTGGAACATCCATAGAGGCCTCGATAATTCAAGTTAAAATAACTACAAATAGATCTATAGCAAGAACATGACCAAATCAGTAGAAGCATTTCCATGTAAGTCCAAGGCTCTCTACATTGAGGAAATTTCAAACAAGTCTGCCATGGACTTTGAGTCTGACAGATTAAACTTATCAAATAGGCACTCTGCCCGAATGTCATTGAACAGCCCATTCCTATCAAGTGAACATGAACCAATTAGACAACCAAAAGACATTCATCTTTTTGAAAATCTGATTCAAACATGATCAAATACTCCTCTTCCTATCACTCACTCACTCACTCACACACACACACACACACACACACACACACACACACACACACATATATATATATATATATATATATATATATATATATATATATATACTATATATATATAGTATATATATATATATATATATATATATATATATATATATATATATATATATATATATATATATATATATATATATATATATTATATATATATATATATATATA